TAAGAGTACATGCAAATTTTAAGTCACTATAATTTTTCAAAAAACCCATGAATTGATTTAAAATTTTGCAGGTAGCTTTTTAATAGTAATAGGAATCTATAATAACAAAATTTTTTAAGTATATGTATAGCCTGTACATCCTTAAGAAAGATGAATCAAACATAAGCGCTGTTGTACTGCATAGAGAAAATAATTTCGCGTAGAAAAAGATATCTGCGACTAAATTTTATTATTTATTTATCGTTTTACACATAATTATTTTCAAAATTATAAAATTGTCCGTATTTCCGACTGGGCTGAACCTGTTGCAAGCGTTCCCTTGCCAGTAGGCTCCTCGCGTTAAACGCGGTGGAAGTACTAAAACGCCGTTAATTAGTCCGGCAAAACGTGAGGGTACAGGCAACAATTAAGAATGAATAATAGCAATTTCGAGGAGAGCGAGTGGCGCACATAAACCAGTCAACCACGGGACTGTGTTAGTGGCATTTGTTGTCCCTTAATGATAGGTCCTCCGTGTACGTACACGTGGATAAGTGTAAAATACATACGTCTAGGCCGTTGTTCAAACCACGCCTCGAAGGATCGGCCATCTTGACGGAACAATGGCTGGATTCTTCCTATTGGCTATAACTCGGTTGAATTCAGGGTGCCTCCGTTCTCGGAATGTCCCGTGGATGATATTCGCGGTGCGGTGGCTCCCCGAGTCCCATTGTGGAGAACAGGTCGATTGATGAAAGCAGGTTCCCACCCATCTTGTGTAAGTCTCTTTTCTCGATGATTCGACTGTTTCATCGGTGTGAAGATTGTGGGCGCGACGTGTCGCGTTTTTAATCACATACAACTCGTGAAACAGGATCGCCGGATTATAATATGTATTTATTGGAGGAATGATGGTGGAGGAATACGAGAAGGCGAAGAGGAACTGTAAATGTACGCATGATTGCTCTTTTGAACGTTTGTCCGTTTTTTCGCTTTTGCCAGCACTTGAACTTAATTCTTAAACAGGTGGACGTTAATGCGTGGGTAAAGTCTTGAAAAGATCGTTTACGATCGAATCGAATCTTGATCGTGAGCAGACATTAAAAAACTTGTGTGAAATAGAAGAATACGTATCAATCGACAGGGAAAGATCGTATATGAATTTAACCTGCGTTCTCGAGTTACGTAGCGCAGTAGCGCTCGCTGATAGAAACAGCGGCCATAGGCAATAGATACGTGATATCGAGCCACATTCTGTAGGAGAAAGCCTCGTAAAAAACAATTGTCTTTACTTACTCTCTTAAGGCTTGCTTTCAATCTCATTTCCTGTAGCATGGAGAAATTACGATACCTAATTGAATGCGAATACATACAATTACGATTCATTTACTTGTACATTTCGTTTGCGATTTCGCTCGAGTACGTCTATTCGATGATAATATCAAATAACGGGTAATTCTTTTGTATTTCCGATCAGCTCACGAGGAGATCCGCATGATGCAGTTCTGGAAGACGATCAAGATGGTCCAGCCTAATCAGATGTACTACTACACGACGGCAACGTACGCGCCACCACCACCACAAGCGGAGGCTCCGACTTACGAGGGAGAGGTGCCCTACATAGGGGTAACACCGCCTCCGAATCCTGCTCACCGAACGCTGTACACGCATCCCTTGCACACTCACGTACCGACCGCCAGCGTATCGTCCAGCACGGACGGATCCAGCCCCCCGGAACATTCTACGTAGCCTCGGTGAGTCCCGCCATATGAAACATTTAAACGTTCGAAGAAGAGAGATTAGTTTCGTTTTGGGATATAAAGTTTTAGTTTCTTCTCCCTCGGTTCCCTTTCCAATCGACGATAGTTTCCCTTTGTATGGACCGTTCGAAGTCGAAGTCGTAATCGCAAATCCGGCGCTCGTAAAACAGAGATTCTATCCTATAAAATGCCCTTCCATTCGAGAGCCAGTCAGACCGCTTCGCTTATAGACCAGCAAAGTATTTCTCGGCTCCCTTTATGTTTCCTTCTTCCGTTTCTTTCTCATCACCGATTTTACGTTCACCCTCTCTGCAGCTTTTACATACTCCGGACAATTTTCGTGATGGCCCCTCAACGGCGCGCCATCCAAATGAATTTCAAATGACTATTTTACCAGGTACAGGGAGTTTTAAAATGACGATGTTAACTGGTAATCCTCGTTGAACAGATGAGAAAGTAAAATTTATAACATTTGTAAAACTCCTGCACTATAGTCGGCCACGAGACGGTAAACGGTTAAATCAATGACTTTGCGAGTTGCGACGTTGAAAGGGATCGAGGTAGAATAACTCACGGTATAAAAAGAAAATCGAATCATTAAGATGATGTAAAGGATATTTCACTGTCGGGCAATTTTGATAACAGCTCGGATTAAATTGGAGGAGCCAAGTACGATTTCGGTGATCGGATTTTACCGAGACATAAATCAAGCCGCGAGATAAGAAGTTTTTGGCTCGTGAAACAAAACAGGAGCAAACGACGACGAACGGGGTTGCGTCGAACGTGTGTTCCCGTTCCATTTCGTCGTTCGCTCTTAGCGAGAAATTTTCAAACCGCAACCAACGATTCCCGCGACCAACTTCATCAAAGCGGCCGGGCCGCTCCCAATATACCGTCCGCTATACGCGCGAGCTTAAAGGTACGGTTTCAGATTTAACGATGACAACACCATAAAGAATCGAATTTACGAGGCCTCTTGGGTACCCTCCCGACTGGCTTTATCGGGAATTTTGTTCCTCAAACGCGTTCGGATGGAATGTCCGCCAGGACGGAATGGAAGCGCTGCTACACGGCAGCTGCTGATTTTAATTATCCACAATTTTTATAATACTCGCTTCCGTTTGTTACATCGCCTTTATCACATACCACCTTTGTTCCACTCCCTTTGCTCGTTACTTTATATTAACATAGCCGTGGATTCTTTAATATTTATCTACCATTACGCCGATGTCTTTTATCGACTTACGTTAATGCGTGTCGAACATCTGTTAGTAATCACCACTTATTTGTAATTTGTTAATTGCTACATAAAAGCCGTGGCCAATCACACTTTCGTTTCATTGATCGAGACAAAATCTGATTATAAGCAGTTGATACCGATCTCTAATTTGTTATAAAATTTTGAATATGATTCACTTGTCTCTATCCTGACGAAGTGAACAATTGTTATTTTAGTATTTAGTTACTCGGTTCAAAGCCGGTGCCTCGTACATTGAAAACAAGTATAGCAGGATGACAAATATTAATTATTTCTCGTCCTCTTAAATCGATTTCATTGTATTTTTAAGTTTGCACAGAGTTCATTGGGTAAAGAAATAATAGACGGTATAACCCCAGGAGTCAAACATTTAATAAGAACTATAGTTCCACGATTCCCGAATGACTGACGTTCCTTGATAACAGATTACTGTGCTCCACAAAGGAAAGACGTCAGGAGAAATACATTTTATAAGTACCTCGTATTATCGAAGTTTATATCCTATTCGTACGCGGCTTTGTATTTGGCTTCCCATTTTTCTGACACGCTATCGCAACGCGACACAAATACCAAAATATTGAAATTTATAATATGTATGTTGTTTTCCAATTTTCTTTCAAAGCTTATAAATTTTACTACATAGAAAAGTGATTTCTGAACGTAATTACTCCCAGTACATACTTGCGATTGTGCATAATAAGAACTTAGATCATCTCGTGGTCTCGATTGAAACATTTCAAATGTCATGATTAATTGCGGATCGTGGGTCTTGAATTTACCTGCACTTATTAGTTGCATCACGAAATTGCGGAGGAATCCGAGAGAAAGATCACGACCTCCTGGTTACCGGTCGTAAACAGTACGTGAATCATGCAGACTGAGAGAGTATCGCTGGATTGCTGGTAGCCAAGTTTAAAGCTCCATAACAGTGCTCCATGACTGAAGGCTTCCGCGTGGAGAAATGGGATAGGTGAATCCTCATCTCGTCTATAGACGACATTAATGCTTCGTTTAAACGAGCGAAAAGGGGATCAATCTGTGGACACGAAAATCTTAATATTATATATGTACGATGTGAAAATGTGAAAACTGTTCGACAGTGGCAGAGAATATTATGAGCATATTATGACACAATAATTACAAATCAAAAGCTTGCCGTATAATTTAGTAATAATGAACACAGTTGTATTTTCTATTGTAATCGTCTCTTACCAGATTCACATGAAACGACAATTGATGAGTTACAGTGCTGGTTGTGGAGGATAAGCTCGATGTCCTATGAACAGCCGCATATTTGCATAAATATGCAACAAACAGTTGAGTACTAAACACTGAGAATTGAGAATTGAAAATTGAGTACTGAGAACTGAGAAACGACTATAAATTCGGGCCTAAACCTGTTTTCATGCTGCTATTGCAAATATACATATATTGGATTCTTATTTAGATCCGATTCGTCCCTGTCTACAAAGTTAAAGTACACATTTTATCATCGGCATAGGACGGTAGTTTGTAATAAAGGTTCGAACGTATCGAACACGAGCCTCGAAGAAAAGTTTATTGGTTCCATAAATTTCCTTCTGTAATTTAAACAGCCGCGCTCGGGATTTACAGCCGGATCGCAGAAAATATCCTGTAAACATATTAAGGGGGTGATCAAGCGATGCTATAGTCAACGAGAGACAGCTTGTATATTTCACCGGGTCTAAATGTGCGACACTAAAGATCTAATCTTTTCGCGAACATTACGAGATTCTGTGCACCATAGGCGTAAATTTTTTCGCACGTGAATCGTAAAGATAATGTAATTTATACCTCGACTCGTGATGAAATACTCTGTAAGAAAATCCACACACGTTTCTACCGTTAAGTACTAAATCGATTTTTCCGAACGTATGTTAAGCCTTTTCGCGGTATTGGGCGTGTAGCGTTTAAAATGGAAAATGCGAAATAAAAGTACAGTCGGGATAAGTAATTTCACAATTTAATCGCCTCCTGTTGAATTATTGAGAACAATGGATCATTAAAAAATAAAAATTAAATCCTATCTAAGCGCCTATTGCATTTATTAAGAAATGATATTTCGTAAAAGCTAATCTCTGACTCATTTCTCATTTGATTGTGTTTATTGGATTGTACATAAAATAATTTAGAAATGAAAGGATCCGTGTTTTATATTCTCGTAAAAGGTATAAGCATGAGTCTCAGAGATTGAAAAAGTGCAAAATGAAAGTGGATTTAGGAATGAAATTAGAGTAATTAGAGCGCGGGATATAAACCGGGGAGGGAAAAGGAGAGATGAAACACCGCGAGACCTTGACGGCGATCATCGGCCCTATTCTCTAAGAATGAAGGCGCGCAATTCCCAAGACAAAGCAATAATTAACAGCGGCGAAGTGCGTGAGCCCCGACCGCCGGATTCTTCTTCTTCGTTCTCCTCCTCATCATCATCGTCGCGTCTTCCACGTATTCGCGGTACCTACGTACGCCGGAGAACGCTAAGCAATGCAACAGACTTCGCTGGCAAAAGGAGTTTTACTACTTTCTAACCACAGTCGCGGGCTACAATTAAACCCCCATAAAATCTCGTCGTAACTTTTTTAAAAGCGGCCGACCGCTCTCTCGCGGCTTAGCCAGCTCCCTTCGTTTGTTCGACAAAAACCACGTTATATTGCATCCTTAATGAAGCCTCCAGACGTACCAACGCCTTCCGGTCGACCCTCGAGACCTGCCTGCTCGAGTCGGAACGGGAGCCGAATTTCTCGAAACCGTTTATTTTCAACAAATGTTCACTGATTGCGATTGGAACTTAAATGCTCTAATCATTCAGCGAAGCTTCGTGAGAAAAAGAATTTATCAAAATTTATCAAATTTAGATGTTCTTTATTTTTATTGCTTCTCGTTTTCGTCACGTAACAAAGAGGTTATTGGGGACAGAAAGAATTGCAACAAGTCTCGAATCCGGGCGGAGCCCGAAAAACGTTACGCGATTGTTTGGTAACCGTGCGTGGTTAAAGAAATCGGCAAATGCGAAACGAATCCTGGACTGGTTGTAGTAGTGGAGTACGTACGTCGAGCGCAAAATCAGCCCCCGCGAGAAGAATCGAGAATGAAACGACGAGGCTGGTTCCTTTGGTTTCGCCTCTGGCCAGGGAGAGGGAAGGCTGAACCGTCGAGGACGATTCCCCGGGATCTCTGGACGAGGGAGCAGGCAGGGAGGGGCGGGATGCAAAAAGGCGAAGAGAAGCGAGGAAGAAGGTTGAAGAGGAGAACCTGACGAGCGAACGTAGCCGGGGCTTTAGCGGGGACTGACGTTTACGGCTTGGAGCGGTCGACCTAGCGCCAGTAAAACTTGAGGAGAAATACAAGCGAAGTCCGCATCGACAGTTAAAGTCATACGCGCGAAAATACAGCCGGGCTTCTATGAAATACGACGTCTGTCAAGCGCCTACCTTGGTAGGAGTCGACTCCGGGGTCCACCCAGAATACGCGTCTCGTTAATGAAAAGAACACCGCCTACCATCGGATTTCTTCTCACGATAATCTAGAAAATAGTAGAACGAACAGAATAAAGAAAGTAGGTAGGTAGGTACGACGTTCGTCGTCTGGTATTTGAATACCTGAGAGACGACGGGGATAAAGAAGTTGAAAGAATACGTTGAAAATTAAACAGGAAATATTTTCCATGACACATGACGATTTTCTGTTCTATGAATTATTTAGCGTAACAATAAGCACAGTGGACGTGCTCGAAGGGGATAAATTTCTAGTTTGAATAATCAACCCAGAGGTACACGCTCGACGGGTTATTATTCGAAACATTCGCTCCGATTTTATAGTCTTTCCACCCTCTTGCGAACGGAGTAGCAGTGAGAATTTGAAAGCACTTGCCAGGGGATGATAAACCTCAACCCTCTCTAGGTCTACAAGTACCATAGTCGTTTTGATTTTAGTTACGTATATACCTTTTCCTCTTTACATCCTCTTTACGACCCCTTTACCAGCCTGCGCTTGTCTCTAAAGTATTTTCTACAAAATATGACAGTTCTCCAGATTTTAGATTTTGTCTTAAGAATCGATCTGTGCTTTCGATTAATCTGTTTCCGTGTAGATAAAAATTCTTTTACATGTATGCGAATATTTATATGCGTCACCGAGATAGTGCTTTAAATATGTCTTCTTCGAGTTGAATAGAAATATATAATTAAAATATAAACGATGTACGTTTCCCGATTGATCTCCTATAAAGAGCACCAAACAGGAAGTAACATCACTATATTTTAATGATTCAGCGTCGGGCAATTAGAATTCGGTCCCTTCCGCGTTTTAATTACCTTTCGATGAAATTTCGAAACGCGGCGCGGTGGCCTCCCCGAGATATCATCGTCGGTTAAGGAGATTGCAAGGCGGCTTAGTTGTAAATCATACTTTTATGAGACACCCCACGGTCGATCGGGCGAAGAAGGCCGGCTCGGAAAAGAATGGAACATCAACCGGCACGGCGAAGTGAATGCACGCTTGCAGCTATTTCGACCGTTCATTCTTTCTCTCCCGGGCCGCCGCTTCTGTCCTTATCCGATCATCTTTCAATGTTTCATCATTGCTTAGGGGTTTTTTTGTAACCCGCAGATGTCGATTGAGATTTTACGACTATACAACAACGTGTCTCGATGTTTAAGACCTCCCCAACGAATCTACATTTTTCCACTTGAAGTCGATACTAAGATTTATCGTTCATTTCGAATTTTCCTGGGTCATTGACAAATTCTCTTTGCTCTTATTTTTCTTTTATTCAACGTTTATTGCCACTAAGAACATCCCGTTGCATCTGTGCTTCCTCTTGACATTTCCGTGCTCGATGACAACGAAGAAGAACACGAGACCGTCTTGTTAGTATTGAATACTGTGTCATTCATTTTAAACAATGCTCTTAACAACATGTCGTCGAAGAAAAAGAAGTTATATGGCCCATCAACCCTGTCTTTCTTCACAGAACGTGTGCCTTAATAAAACAGCTTGAAAAGCGTAGAGGATGAGAGTGGTAGAGAAAGAGGTAGAAGGAACAAGACGGGACTGCGAATAGAAAAAAAAGAGACAAAGAGAAATCCGAACCCTCAAACTCTGAAAGGAAAGTGCGTGAAAGTGACTGCAGTGTTCCGCCAGTTAAAATTAGAGAAAAGAGGCAACGAATAGAGACGATGAGAAAAAATAGTTTCGCGCGTATCGTCTGTTTGGAAAGTCATGAAAACAAGTCGTAAAACGTTGGGAAAGACGAACTCATCAACGGGAAAAGGTCGCAGAATTTCTGAACGGAGTCAGAAAAATGATGTAGTTTCTTGGTTCAAATGTGGCAAAATTATAATTGTAATCCATAAAAATGTAAGAGATGAATAAATAATTAAACATTTTACAAGCAATATTAACTCATGGAAGTAGATAATCAAATGGAATGAAATAATAAAGAATTTACTAATCATGGATAAGATAAAAGTGCTATTGCTGTGAGTTTCATGTGTTTTTGAAATGGACAGGGAATATTTTGTTCCTCTTGGTTTAACGCAGTATTAAAGTAATAGTCGATTCTCCGGGCAATTCGGTTTTATGAATGGAAGTAATATTTCCAACCACGCGTCAATAGGTTAAATAGATGTGTGTGACATTTGATGGGGTCGTCTTGCGTAAGCGTTACGGACCTCGTTACGAGCTGTACTAACAACCCTTCTCTCTTTCTCATTTTCCCTGTTTCCCCTCGCTATCTTGTATTCCGTCTTTTTATGCTCATTGTTTTCGGAATTAATTTCCGTTTTTTGAAAATAATTTATACAAGAAGGGTGCTTTTAATTTTTCATGTTGTCATTCAGAATAATCATGCTATGTAGGAAAAAGTAAAATAAATAAGAATGTCAAGTCGGATTTTTTGTATATAGAGGATTTTCGAGAATGTCAGGATTTATAAGAATTAGAAACTTCCTGGAAGAGTCCCATATTGTTTAACCGAGAAGAAGATGGCTAATGTTTTCGATGGTTGTTCGAAGATTTCGTTGATTAAAGTGAATGAATGTACACGGATTAAAATGGTCCTTAAAACGACGGACTCGAAACGCATACGAAAAATCCTTGAGAAGTCTAACCCCCGTGGTACAGCCTTTTATCGTCACAATGCTTTCCCAAGCGCACATATATGTCGACAAGACTCGTTTTACGATGCGACCAAGTTTTAGTACCCGGGAAAGTTTCCGCTTCGCTAGGATTTTCTGACTTCAACTTTTAATCTGTTCTTTCGCCGTGAATGATTTCGCTGATGCTGAGAATATTCTCGCTGAGGATTCAATCACAGCATAAAATATATTGCACCGCTTGAAAGCTACGAAAATGTTAGAACGTAGATGAAATATCGACGGCAGTTAAGTAAAGGAAATAGACGTCAGGATAGGAATAGACGTAATTAGTTTCATTGCCTACGAAACATACTTTTGAAGTAAAATACTGTTTGATGAATTCATATGAATTACGTACGTCGATGATTTCTTAATACCGTGTTGTATTCCACCATCTTTCAACTGAAATGTCTCATTTTGAATGAAGACTTCATAGAAAAGGTAGCTGTTCAGACAATTTACCACAGTAATCAGCAGGCGTATCAAATATCGTAAAAGCGAACGATCGGAGGAAAAATGAAACCGTTTGGAATCACGGCCGTCAACGGCAGCGGGCCTTAGTGCACCCTGAAGAGGGTACCGGCGTGTCGAGCTCCGAAAAAGTCGGCTACAAGCCTTTGTCTTGAATGCGGCGTGGTAGGAAACAAGGTCTGGCCTGGCCGGGTAAATGGCGGGTGGGTGCACGTATGAAAACTAAGTCCGGGTTTCATTTGACTGGCTTTACGAGGGAGACATAAAATGGATTTTACTGTCGGCTAGTTCGCCAGTTCTCGAGTTGGTAACATTGCTTTAGCGAACATAATATAGCTCCCTCGCCTTTCTTTCTTTTCTCACTCTCTCCTTCTGACGCCTCTTCTCTTCCGTTTCTATATTTTTCTCTCGCTTTCTCTCGATCCTCACGCAGGACACGTCTCTCTCGTAGCCGTTCCGACTCGATTCTCCTCTCTCTCTCTATCTATCCATCTTTTCGCCTCCGTTTTCTGCCCTTGTCTTTTCCCGCGTCCTGTGGACGCCCAGTCACGTCCTTAAAATCATGCACCGCTGTAACTTTCAACCCGTTAGAAAGTTTTCACCTGAGAAATATCTCCCGAAGTTAATATCCATTCGGCTAAGATGACACGCTGGTCGTTAAGTTAACTTTGAATTCGCTTCCTGTTGCCGTTTCGGTAGCAGCCACAGCCAGCTCTCGGCTACCTTGCGGCGTTACCTATTCTCCGGTTAATAGCTGCCATTATCCCGATCATTTTCAATAGGTGTTCTCTTTTGATAGCCACGTTTTGGTCAAAATATTCGTTTCTAGTGCTTCCATTTTT